TGACCGATAGACTCCCGTTTCCGATCCAAAGCATCGTGTACATCCTTCCCGTCCTCCTCCGCAGCAAACACGGCATCAAAGGCGGGAGACCAATCGGAGTACTGGTAGTGTTCCCCCAGAATGGTAGCCAGCGCCTGCTCACACTTCGGCATCGTCGAGTTACCATCGTCGACCCAGTCGTGAATGGCTTGCCAGGCAGCGTCGATCTGCGCTTCGGTCGGCCCGTCCCGTCTTGAGTCCTCCGTTGCCGGTGAGCGAGACCCAGAGATCCTGTAAGATTCAGTCGGCCGAGCGTCTTCACTGCAAGAAGAGATGAGGCGTACGGGGGAGCTGAACCATTCGGAGTCGATGCTCTGCGTGCTGCAATCTTCGCAGCGCGCAGTTCGCGCGCATGACGCTGTGCGTTCGTGTCGAACGGGTGACTGACGGTTATTGCGTCCAGGTCGCTGTGACGCTCCTCACTGAACGACTCGTTGCCTGATTGGTCCTTGGCCTCAAAGTCAGACTCTTCGTTGCTCGCCTTCCTGTGGCATATGTGAGCAAGCTGAACCAAGGCGCATGTCAAACAGCACTCTCACCTCTTATGTTTCGCACGCTTATGGGCGGGGCGTGACTCTCTGTCGGTGAAATCACCACCAGGCCGACCCTTCGACGCCGTCCTTTTCCGTTGACTGCAGGCATATCATGAAAAGACCAATTCACAGATCATGGAACTTACACGTTGTTCTCCGCGCGGTGAGCGGGACCACTAGACGCAGCATCGGCTCGACGAGCCTGGTTCACAGCGGTGTTCTGAGAGCGAGCGAATGTGGACGCGACGGGCCCAGCGGACGGTGCACGACTACAATGAGTATTGTCACGTCAGTCGAAGCGCAACCCACCATGCCTAATCTCGTACCTTGTAGCAGTCTCAGGATCGTCCAAGTCCTTTACGAGATCCAGCTCTTCTGTCAAACCGGGAAGCTGCTGTGCGAGCTTGAGACCGAAAAGCTTACGGCGCTCGGCGGCTAGATAGCACTGTAAGTAAACTACCTCAATGGAGATACGGATTTACGCACTGAAATACGCTCGAAGGTACTCCCGCCACATGCCCTCCAGTTCGCGGAAGAACTGAGGATTCCACTTATCGAACGGCAAGTCCAGGTCGGGTCCGCCGTATGCGCTGAAAGTGCTCGGTTAGTCAAGGCATGGGGCTCATTGAATTCGAGACGTACGATGTGACTTGAATCTCGCCATTCATCGACAGACGCGGACCGCCAGAGATCATCAAGCACGGCCAGCCGGAGCTGGTGCTCAACCGCTGCGAGGCTTGAATCAATGTGTTGTGCATGATACGGGTAGCGCTTCCGTTTTTGTGAGCGGACCGAATGAAGTCACATAACTTGAGACGTACAACTCCCTATCCGCAACCTTTTCCTCCAGTATACGATTCACGACTCCTTG